TCTGGGAGTATATCATTTTATCAAAACTAACTTTTAGACCTCTTTGGGAATACTGATATACTATAATACTGACTGTTTTTTTTTTTTTTTTTTTACATCTGGTGTTCCATTGTACACCATCAAGTTGTGATGAATAACCCCCCCTCCCCACAACCTTACCCATTTTGGATGTGATTTTGTGCCTGTAAATGACACGTGGAAACCATAAATGCATAGACACGTTAAACATGCCTGAGGTGACATGCTGTTTGTTTCGTCATTAAATTGTTACCATTGTTTTTGTCAAAATTCTGATTTTTTGTTGAACATTTTCATTATTCATGACACCAGCACTGAAGCTTACCTTGCTTTCCACAACATTTTTCAAATTTCATACTTAAAATTCATCATGACTCTCAGCTTGTACCTATAGCGTGCTGCCTGGAGCCACACCGGGGTTGTCATTGACTTGCTGAGCCCCCTGTGTTGCTTCCTTTCCCAAAAGTTGAGACAGGCCTGCACACCTCAGTTTTACAGTTCATAGAGTCCCTTATCAACTTTGTTCAACAGCTTCGGTTTTTCACAGGCTCTTTGTCCCCAAACAAATGCTTACAAAACAGACAGAGAGGGGGATGTAAAGGGGATACACTGATCATGAAAAACCTGTTTTGAAAGACATCTATAGAAGTGGGTGTGGTGATGCCTTACAGCAGGAGGACGTTTACATTTACCAGCAGAAGTATCGATGTTGGACATACCTTATTACGGCACTAAACAGCAAACCTTAGTTAGTGGAACACTTAAATATAAATCATTGATATTGCTGTCAGCTGCAACGTTTTTGATACCAGAGCAAAGCATACAGCTGCTACTTCACCTGTCAGGTAAGATGTTGAATTCTGATAAACCAGTGATGGAGAAAATATTAAAATCTATTACCTGCATTAAAAATACTTCAGCTACTCTACTGAGCTACATGTGTTGTCAGGAAAATATACCACCAATAATACTAAAAGTATGAAGAATAAAAGTGCTTAGCATGCATTACTACCTGATGTAGTGAAGAACATGCATTATTTGTCTAGTTTAATTTACTCATACTGTAGTCTAATTAAATGGTTAATTAAAATGTTTTTTTCTGTATTTATTTCCCTGAAATTCAAGTAAAATTAATATTTTTGGGGGGTTTTAAGACTAAAAGGTGGACAGAGAAAGAGCTTTTGTTGATCATTTTTCACTATTTTCTGACATTTTATACACAATTTGTAGATTAACAAAAAAATAAACTTCAGTTAATTTGATTTGCCTGTTTTTTTTTTTGTTTTTTTTTAAAGGGATTTTTAAGTACCCTGAGCTTTACCATTATTTTGTCTTTAAATTAAATCATAAATATAGTGATTGTTTCAGGAGGTGTTGTCAGACAAAATGAGAACCTCAGTCAGTGATGTCATCAGTCTGTTTCAATAAAACTGAAATTAACCCTCAACCTCAGTGAGCAGTGGCTCTAAACAGCTCATGAATGACAGATGTTTCTTTTCTGAGGAAAACGTGCCACTATAACAAAGTGTACAGTTTTATTAAATAAAGGTCATATTGTCATCGACATCAACAAAGGAGGCAAAATCCGGCTAGGTCGCACATGTCGCTATGGGAACAAAGAAAGCCAACAGTGGAGAACGGTGTGTGAAGTTTATTTCCTTTTGTTGATTCTGCTTTTTCCTCCACATGTGAGGCTGATGTGGCGACAGAGACGACACCATAACGTATGCCCAGTATGTCGCCACCGTGCCACTCCCCCAGCCTATGTTCTGATTATTGACCGCTGCAGAATCGCTGGGGCTTTAATTAGTGCTAGTGTAACTAATTGGCTTGCATAGAAGTGACATTGATGGGAGGCAAGAAAATGAATTAATGAGGAGAGGCATTGGCAGATTAAATGCTACTGCTAAAAAGTAAAAATGGAGTCTGGTCTTTCAGGGAAATTGGCATTTGCATTGAAGACAACAAAACAAAGCCATTCATGTCGCCTGCACGTGAGCGAGTGTGTGGGTGGGTGTTGGCGTGTGTGTGTGTGTGTGTGTATGTGTGTGGGCATCTATGTACGAGTGTGTATCTCCATGTACATGTGCAGCCATGTGTTTATGTGCCTCTGTGTGCAGTCTTCATCAGAGCTCATGGAACTAGATGTTCATTTAGTTGACAGCAGAAATCTCTCAAACGCTGGATATGCTTCGATGTAAAGTATGTTAACCTTTAAAACAAAACCGGCCCTGGCCCCTCTCATTCTCCTGTAATTGCTTGCACTGGGTAAGCACACTCGCCGGAAAAGGTTATCGTGTTCCTTGTCAGTTGTCATGATGAATGAGCAAACATAGCAGGAAATGAAAAGTGGAAGCTTAGAAAATCTACCCAAGCCAGCATGTAGCATTTGCACCAAATAATGCTCAGTTGTTCAGTATCTGCAAATTATTAAACAGCGAGCAAACAAATAAACAAGAGAGGCAATGCAAGCAGTCAGTGAATTAACACACTCAGGAAGGAAGGATGGATTCTACACTGCTGCCGCATTAATATTCACTAGAGTCTAGTACAACCTCCAAGTTTCTGCTGGCATATTCTGTTTTCTCCAGTGATGTGTGTCTGCTGCTAGTGTGTGTGTGTGTGTGTGTGTTTGTGTGACAGAGTTAACATGTGCGGCATTGATGATGTATGTGTCCACTGTGGATATCATTATGCGTGACGTATACATGCATCTTTTCTGTGCATCTATACACACACAAACGATTACGTGTGCATTAGATTTGTTGTGTATGTCAGTAAGCCTGGTCTGCATTATAGTTTGTGTTACTGTGTGTGTCTGTTCACACACAAAAAGATTATGTGTGCAGTGTTCTGTGTGTACATCATTACGTGCAATGCACAGTAAATGTTGTGCTTGTGCTGACTGATTCTTTGCCTTGATGACTCAGTGAATCAGTGTGTACAGACGTGATGGCCTTCGTGTGTCTCTTGGTGCTCAACTTCCACGTGGGCAACAGATGCAATCGTTTACATTTTGTCCACATTTTTGCATGTTTGCGTGTCTGCATGTTTACTTGTATGTCCTGTATTCATGCCTGTTTGTGTAAGAAGGTCGAGCAGCCTGGGTGATCTCAGCGAGACAGTAGGCAGCATTGATAAGCTGAAGGTGGAAGGTGAATGGCAGGTGAAGGCTGTTATCACCAGAGGCTGGCTCAGGATTCGACACCACTGCCTGCTGGACCCTGAAAACTTATTCTGACAGATGCATCTCCTCCCGAGCTGTTGACGCGCGGTGGGGG